GGAGGCAATGCGACTAAAACAGTAATTGAAATTCAGCACACTATTTTTTAAAACACGTTGCTTGAATAAAACTGACCAGACACATTCAATTTACCAGACTATTGAACAACTAGGAAAAGTGAAAAAAATACTTCTTATCGCCAGCATAAATGCGTAATTATTTTTTTACAGGAAAAATAATTTTTCACCTTTGGTTGAGTAACGTGTCGTAGAATGCAGATACGGGCATGCAAAATACACTTGTGAAAAGCTTTAAGTCTGGCGATTCTAAAAATATATACTTTCCCGGGTCTATTTGTAGTCATTTAGTCACAATTAGAAGATGAAAACAAGTATGCAAATAATAGTCCCGCTACCTTAAATGACACATTACAAGTATAAAACTGCCATGCATTAAGTGTTTTAGAGTATTTGGTATGATGTGACTGAGTTGATTTTTACACCAAAAATGAGCATACTTTATGTTCAGTTCACATATGGGAATCAAAACACAATATTTAATACTAGTGTAGTTCTACCGGTAATTCACAATTGTACTAGCCAAATTATACCCGATACTAATTTTGTCACTTATTTATCCAGGTTTCATTACGGAGAATATAACTACACTTAATTTAAATAAACTTTCCGTATTAAAGAAATCAAGTGCTCATTGATAATTGAGATAAAGCACCCATCAATTCAAGATTTAAACAGGTATTGTCTATAGATATCAATTATGGCTATAAGATGGGCAAACCATTTGGGGTCATTTGTCAGATTACGAAGTAGATGTAAATACCCAGATAAATACAGTAACTAAATATTAGAAACATGATTGCATTGCACATACAGTTAAAATAACCACCACACAAAAAGAAATAATTGTTCAAACTATCAATGATACTAAATATATGATACATTGGTGATGTAATTAATACAGTTTGCAATGCCAGTTAAGATCAGTAAACTATAAAGGCTGCCCTCTATAGTTAAGACTTGCCTTTATCTGTCTATTCAGAGTAATCAGATTATGGGATAATCTGTTTTTAAACTTCTGATCAGCAGCGTGAACTCTCTTCATATGACCTGTTTCTTCTTTAGTATTTCTTATATTGCCTTGAAGCTGAAAAGAAAATGTTTTTGATCAGTATGCAATGCAATCTGTGAATAGCATTTCCTGTTCAGCACCACTGTCTGGTACAATAAATCACAAAGACTAATGTCTTGAAAAGCATCAGACATGCAGTGTACAAAGCAATGGTAACTGGAGTGTTTACTTACTGTAAAATATTTATTTTCACTTGGAATTAATTTTCGCTGAAGGAATGATTCAGTGAAAATAATATCCAGCGAATATACCTTTTTTCCTATATTTTACATTCAACTCGTCAAAAATCAGTGAAAATAAATTCCATACCAAAACACCCAAAAGGTTTTTTCAATTAAAATTAATTCCAGCTAAAATAAAGTATTTTACAGTATTCTCACCTTGTAGTGGCAGACACATCAACTGTTAAAGCATTTATTATTTATAAATTTGACATTAAAATAATGTCATACGGTTGACTTTCTATATTTGTGTTTACACATCACAATTAATATTATGTTTTCTACCAAGAAATTGTTGCTTCAAACAACAAAATCTGATCAAATGAAATGGAGGAACTGATGATCCTACAATTTTCTAAGGAAGCTAGAAGACATGTCTTTTTCCACCACTGGACAGGGTATGTAAAATTTGTATAATCCGTATCTCACAGGACAGATATCAAATAAATAATATAATCAAAGTTACAAAAGGTGTCGGCTTTTTTTCAAAGAAAAACCATGCAGTTTAGTAGTTTCCACTTTGTAACCATTTGTAATTCTTATTACAAATGAACAAAATATATGAGAAAAGTTCTCCACTTTCTAGTTTCAACACTAGAGGGCAGTAAGCAACATTAATTACAGTAACATTAATTCATATAAACAGTTTATTTGTTTACATTACCTGTGCTAACTTGAGGTAAAGCATGGCATTTTCAGTTTCCAGAGCAGTGATTCTCTCATCTTTACTCTAAAAAATAAACAATTCATTTTAGGCTGGAATGTCATAAAATTACAGTGAACATGCAAACACAAAGTAAAAGATTTACTGGTAAATATCAAAATAAATGAGACTAAAAACTGTCATGTTTCTTATAACAAAGTTTCAGACAATGAGTTATATGACTGATAATTGTGTAGCCATCTGTGTTAATAATGGTAATACATTTATTGTAATTCATTTAGTGATAAAGATAGGAAACTGATCTAGTGTACTGAGCTGCTCCTTCATTTGACCTGATTTTTCTAGAAAAAAATTCAGTTGAGATGGTAGTCAAGTTTTGTTGTAAATGTCTTTAATTCGATAACATCTATTGATCTAAAAGTCTTTGTAGTTCTAATGTTCAATATTGATGATTCAAATCTATGTCAGGCTATCCATGAATGTTTTTAAAAATAGGTAGATATATCTATTTGAATTTAAATCATTATTAAATTGAACTTATCTACATTCCAACATCCTGACATGGATTTAAATCATCAATATGAATCATTTTCCTCCACGCCATATTGATTGTTTAAAAATACAGAGATACATGTATATCGATTTAAATCTTTAATATTGATGATTTAAAATCATGTCGGGTTGTCAAGTTTTTAAAAATATGTGGATGTATAAGATTTAAATCATCAATGAATATTCATATTTATGACTTTTTGTCGAATGTCAATGAATGTTTTTAATATACTTATATACGATGCATCAACTAAAAAAATAATATTCATATTGGTGAAAGACACTCGTGGATACTCGACATGAACGTCAGACGGTCAGCGTAAGTTTTTTTTTTTTAAAAAGGATGTATCCGCTTGGATATAACAGCCAAGTGAGAAATTTTAAAATGACGCCGCAACTCAAGGGTCAGATCATAGAGATCACAACAACGAGAGTTTGTGACATTGAGTTGCCATGCAGCCAATACACTGTAAGACATGTTACGACTAGATTGCCGGGAAGGTTGCTAAATAATGTTTTATTTTTCACACTTACCCGAACTGTTCTCTCAAGGTTTGTCACCTTCTCTGGTATTATATGACTAGTGTCCAGACCTAAACGTGGCATTGTTTTCTCCAACGAAGTAACAGACACAAATAACTTCGATACGAATGTGTACAATGACGCGAGTTGCACTGCCCGCCAGGCAACACAATATTTTTAGTTGATTTTCACAGACGAGGTCATAAAATGTCCAAGAATTGTCAATTCTCTTGTGCCTAGAGACACCAACGCGACAACAAAGAAAGTGAATTGCCACTATAGCGACATATAAACTGCCAATCAATTGACAACCCTAGTTGACCGTGACAATAATAAATTTCTCGGGCAATGCAACAGTGTTATTTATTGCCAGCTGAAACATTGCCAGAGGTCGTAAGGTTAAATCATGTCACGTGATCTATAGAAAAATCAATGCGTTTGGGGTTACACGGTATTCATATTCCTGATACATCATGTATATTATGATATATATTTTACAAGGAGTATATTATTTGCGTTACTATCGTTCAAATGTATTTGGTAAAGCTGAATACAGCAAAATACTGGAGATTTGCCTCTGTTTGTAAAGGTCATCAAGCATGCGCACTGTGAATTTACAAATGGCGGACAAAGTTTGAATGTTGTTGGTGAAATCATTTGTTTTGCATCCGTCAACTCTTACGCTCCACTCATACAGTAGTTTCGGTTAGTAGCTCGTGGACTTAAACATTGGTATTCTGGACAAAAAGCTGTCGTGGATTAAGATTTAGTTCAGTGTTTTAATTTAATCTAAATGTGCGATAGTTTATATCTGTGAAGGTAACCCAGCGTTTGGAACGACCAATGATACATTACAAACGTACATTTTGAACGTCGTATTTTCTGATCAGCATCGGCTGAACCACATGCAAAGCACAGTCTCCAATAGTAGATTAGCAGCATGACGAAGTAAGTATTATTATTTAATCAGATCATCTCAATTCTCATGAAAAATATCTAACAGTGTTGTATAATTCCAACATTGTGAAGGGTGTATGGAAAACGAAGACCCTGGAAAACGAAGACCTAAGACCCTGGAAAACGAAGACTCTGGAAAACGAAGACCATGGAAAACTAAGACCCTGGAAAACGAAGACCATGGAAAACGAAGACCCCGGAATGTTCCTATGACGCCAATGATACACGAATTCGCCCAATATCGGGCATTTACTTTTAATTGTGAAATTAGATTTCTAGACATCTCGACCCAAAAAATTTTCGACCCAAGACACTTCGACCCAAATTGGACATCTCGACCCAGACACCCTGGACATCTCGACCCACCGCATCGACCCGACCCTATCTAAGTGTGGCAACGCGAACCTCTATCTAGTTCAACGTTGATAATGTTGCCCTTTGATAACTTAAAATTCTCGCGATATTGCGTATTGTGCTGTCTATGAATGCTGTGTTTGAATGAACGACATCTATAGATTCGAAACATTGAAAACAGGGAACATGATCGAACCGAACCTTAAACGCTATTTTACGCCCTTTGTTACGTGTAAATAAATAACTTATCACCATCAAGCGCAATGGATCAATCCAAAAATGACGTCACTTTTAGAGGTCGCGTGCTGTGAAACGAACAGCGAAAGCAGCAAAAAATAATAAATCAATGAAACAAACACTACATGGTCTACGCGCACTGGGAAAAGTACGATGCTATCGGGAAAAAGTACGACGTTATTGGAATCGGGTCGAGGCGGCGGGTCGTCTGAAAAAGGTGGGTCGAGATGTCTAGGGGTCCTGGGTCGAGTTGTCCAATGAAAAATGGGTCGAGATTTTTTGGGGTCGAGATGTCCAGCACCCGTGAAATTACAACGTATGGAAAACGAAGACCCTGGAAAACGAAGACTCTGGAAAACGAAGACCATGGAAAACGAAGACCATGGAAAACGAAGACCCTGGAAAACGAAGACCTTGGAAAACGAAGACCCTGGAATGTTCCTATGACACCAATGATACACGGATTCGCCCAATATCAGACATTTACTTTCATTGTGAACTAACTTCCCGTATGAAATTCTTCATAATAAATTAAACTAACTACTTTTAATTGTGAATTACAACGTGAAGTACTTATTTTTGTTTT